GTTTGGGAAACCGCCCTGTGCACCACACTAGAGCACTCTGCTGTGGATTATGCTGGCACCGGAGCTGCTCACCTTGGCGACTGTGGCCTGTTCCTACCAGTGGCAATACTGGTTTTACAGGACCACTGCATACAAAAATGTTTATACAGCTATGCTATGTCAATGTGCTTATGTTCGAATTCAGAACAAGTCCAATATCTGTTTAGTGTGCTTCTGCTTTAATGGGGTAATAGGCCCTCTGCTTTAGCTACACCACTGTCTCACATTCTCCCATTGGCCACCTCGGTAAAGAGCCTGGCTCCATCTTCTCAAAGACCTCCACATAGGTGTTAAGTCCCCCCCAAAGCCATCTCCAGGCTGAATAAACATCCCGTTTTGGGCCTCCAGTACAAAAAAACGTTGATAAAATCATAGAATCACAGAATGGTTTGGGTTGGAAGGGACCTTAAAGATGATCTAGTTCTAGCCCCCCTGCCATGGTCAGGGATACTTTCCACTAGATGAGGTTGCTTAAAGCCCCTTCCAGGGAGGGGGCATCTACAACCTCTCTGGGCAACCTGTTCCAGTGTTTCACCACCCTCACAGTAAAGAATTTCTTCCTAGTAACTAATCTACCCTCTTTCAGTTTAAAACTGTTACCCCTCATACTATCACTACACTCTGTGATAGAGTCCCTCCCCGTCTTTCCTGTAGGCCCCCTTTAAGTACTGGAAGGCTGCTATAAGGTCCCCCTGGAGCCTTCTCTTCTCTAGGCCAAACAACCCCAAACTCTCTTAGCCTGTCCTCACAGGGCAGGTGCTCCAGCCCCCTGATCATCTTCGTGGCCCACCTCTGGACCACCCCCATGCCCCAGAGCTGAACACAGTACTCCAGGCGGGGTCTCACGAGAGCAGAGTAGAGGGGCAGAATCACCTCCCTCGCCCTGCTGGCCACGCTTCTTTTAATGCAGCCCAGGATACGGTTGGCTTTCTGGGCTGCGAGCGCATATTGCCAGCTCACCTCTGGACCACCCCCATGCCCCAGAGCTGAACACAGTACTCCAGGCGGGGTCTCACGAGAGCAGAGTAGAGGGGCAGAATCACCTCCCTCGCCCTGCTGGCCACGCTTCTTTTAATGCAGCCCAGGATACGGTTGGCTTTCTGGGCTGCGAGCGCATATTGCCAGCTCGTGTCCCGCTTTTTCCACCAGTACCCCCAAGTCCTTCTCAGTAGGGCTGCTCTCAATCCACTCATTGCCCAGCCTGTATCCATGTTTGGGATTGCCCCAACCCAGGTGCAGATCAGTTTGAATGAACTGAGACACAGGTAAAAAGACAATTTCATGTGTGTGCTGAGAGACAGTGTGAGCTAGAAATGGGTTAATTCTTTCCTGTGTTGCTGTACATTGAGAATATGTTGCTTTTACAACTAGCTTGAGTGTTTTCTTAGTACTGATTATTCTAAATAGCTGATGCAGTATATATATGTTTTTAAAAGTTCATGTGGAAGATGGCATTGATGGTTATGGGTGGAAGAAAAGCTTGCATTTTGGGAAATGTAAAAAGACATGTGCTTCAGCCGGGACTTCTGGAACACCAGAAGTCCATGTGCCGACCACTTTGCAAATCTGTGAAATGCTTTGGCAAACTGTAGTAAGCCCAGATAGTTAGGGAACTGCAGCACATGGTGTACAAAAAGAATACACCAGAGGAGCTGTCTCTGTTCAGCCCAGGGAATAGAAGGCTGAGTGTGCCTTCCATTAAAGAGACAATGGTAACAGATTGTAGCCCAGTTGTCTGCCTTCAGTTTGTTTACAAGCCTAAATTATGGAAGAGGCTACAAATACAAATGAGTGTGCAGATTTAAAAGTGTGCCAGCCCAGGTGGGACATATCCCCTTTCTTGACAACATTTTTTGCCTAATTAAACTTTGCTTGATGTATGGAACATCATATAGTGGCCTTTCTCTCTGTTCTGTTAACTCCTCATCACAGCAGATGCTGTAAAGTGTAAGGCTTAAAAAAAAAGCACTGGGTCCCTGTATGGTGTGTGTCTATGTATGCTTTCTCACTCTGGTCCTTCTAACATTGCTAGCAGAATAACATAGCTCACTCGTGTATAATTAGCTTTCTACTGAGCTTTTAATAATAATTTATTTATTACATCTCTTGCTTTTCAGGATGGGTATCTTCTTCCTCTTCATTCTGGCTTTCCTTCAGTTTTTTCTCTTGTACGCTTTTTAGTATATTGCAGTGTATCACTTTTCTGTGTTACTGCCAATTTGTGAACTTTTGCTTTTAGTTGTCTTTTTGTTTCTGTTTTGCTTTAAACCTTTTACTTTTTCTAGTTCTGGTGGGTTTTTTTGTTTTGTTTTATCATTTATCTCCAGAAGGGTAAAATGTGCATGGGAGCAACATAATAAACACTTGTTGAGAGCAAAGTGGACTAAAATGCATGAAAGAACGGTCCAGGGATATTAAGTCCTGGAGCTTTGCTGCTTGAGTGATAAAGATATATGTAACACAAAACCCCCATAATTTAAAAGCTTTACCTATTGTAGCCCATGTCCATAGCTGCCATTTGCATGCAGTTCCCTTTCAGAGCTCTTTCAGGTTTCTGAAAGTGATAATGTGTACCTCGCTTGGTGTGCTCACACAGTTGCCTCCTGACAGCTGCAAGGCTGATAGTGAGACAGTGTGTACTGATGTACTGCACCATTTAAGCCTCTGATATTGGATCCCCCTCGCCAAGGACCACAGTACACGGGCTTGCCGTGTACTCTGCTGCTCCTGTTCCTAGCTCTGAAGTACATACGTGTTCTTCATTGTCTGAAAAATTGCATTATTTTTTCTCACATGGTAGGTTTATTGATAGTTGTCATACGTGGTGTGGTACATAGTGTGTGTTTACTGGAAAAAGCTAGTTTACTTCTCCTCGTTTAGTCAATGTAATTGATACCCTGTCATTTCATTTGCCACAGTAGCATCTCTAGAGGTTATTGGGGCATTGGCACATAGGATTATGGAAGAAAAAGAAGTAGAAAAAATGTTAATTTAAGACCTTGTTAGGAGTCTAGGTAAAATTAGGTAAAAATTAACTTAGTCAGCTCTCTTTCTTTCTTCTGAGGACATGGCAACTTCAAGAAACTATGGATGATAAGTGGGATGGAAACTGTAGCTCACTGGAAAATTGGCTTAAGCAACAACATGTTAGAGAAAGTGTATCTTCACCAAGTTGTGTACTTCAGATACATGCTTATGTATATTGTTAATCAAAAGAGGCATCTAGTTCTTTATATGGTTTTGGTTTTAACTGCTAAAAGTTTTCTAAAGTATTTCTTTCCCTTCAGCTGATGGAGTCTGTGTGTTTAAATGCTTGGTTAACAGAGACACTGAATACTGTCGTGTGGGAAGACAATCTGTGTTAATTACACTGGGATACAACAGTGCCTTGCTCCAGTTCAAGTCACAAGCTGGTAAGTACATCTTGCATTTGTGAGTATCTATCTTCCCCTTCTTGCCGTGCTACTGTATTGGTAAAGTTCGTTTTAAAATATGTTGTCTTCTACCTCTGTTTCATGTTGGCTATTTAAATATTACATTTTATGATGATTTGTGCAACTTCATGTGCCTCTAACCCACTCCAGCTGCCTTTTGTGGAGTATGGACCATTCACATAGTGCACATAACATTTTTGCAAAACAACTGCAGATTAATTTTCTGAAGAAAGCAAATGCAGATAACACATTCATATGACAACTTCATAAACTCTAATAACTGGTAAATGTAATGCTTTGTGTGGGCAATCTGCCATTTGTTGCTCCCCATTCAGAAATTTTCTTGCAGATCTGTTTGTCTGTATAGTTAATTGAGGTAGTTTAACATACACCTGCAGTTCTTAGGATAGATATTTTGTGTGTAGTGATGCTGAAAAAGAAACGCACTCTGTTGTAGAAACATGACTGTATTTTAGTAGAATGTTGAGATCTGTATTTTTACACTTCCACCTGACTTGTGTTTTTGTAAATCCAACAGCTGAGACTTTTTCATATGTGCTATCCTCACGTCCTTATATTGGCTTTTGGAAAAGCATTCTTAGTTTTTATGCAAGGAAATTCAGAAGGCTGCCTATTTATTCTGAGTAGTGTGCAGCACGGCCACAACTCATTTTGAAATTGTGTAACTACAGGTGACATACAGCTTCCTCTTTGGCGATAACCAGGAGTTCTTATATAGCAGCCTACATCAGTAGGCCTGGTGATTTCCAGGAAGACATTATAGTTATTTCCATTTTATATTGCATGGAAACTGAGGCACAGAGCAATTAGATTGGATTTTTGGCAGCTTATTTAAAGACACATACATGTTTCAAAGCATCAAGGGCTGAGAATTTGGGTGTAGATGGGTTGGTTTGTGCAATGAGTTGCTAGTCCTGTGTCATGTAGACACAATATGTGAACTCTTGAGTCCCACTCTACTAGGAAATACAGTTTTTAGACTAACCTGATTTTTTCAGTTGGGTGCCAAATGTTGGTGGCCTTTGAAGTCCTACCTGGTTATAGCCTTTCAACTGTATCCATCAGGAAAAACTATTCTTACTTTCAACCTCTTACCTTACTAAAACAATATGAATGTAAGCTAAGAATGAGTGCGTCTGTTGGTTTTTTTAATTTATGTATCTGAGTGTTACAATTCAGTATTGTGCTTCCATTAAGTTATTTCTCTTGAGACTGCAATACAATATTGGCTCTTACAGAGACCCACATCGTAACTGAAGTGATAATTGAGATTAGGTTGTTTAGCGATTTATCAGCTCACCGCTGAGATAATTGATAACTAATAATTAAGGAGTCAGGCAAGTTTTTCAGTACTCTTTGGTCTGCAATCTCTACCATGTCTTGCCTACCTAGGAAGGTTCCGATTCCAAAAGGCACTGATAGTCTGGGATCCCAAGGCAAAAGAATTTTCTCTTAGTGCTCTTCCCCACCTTTACAAACAAGTACTTGAAAAAAATCCAGCTAATTTCTGTACAGTTTGGTATTTTTCCTGACAGGAGTGCCGTGAAGATTAAGTGGTAAATTCAGTCCTCTCTTTAGCTATATTCCTTGGTGATTTGTGTTTAGTTTATTTATATAGCTACATATTGTGAAATAGATAAGAACAGTATAGATAAATCTCTTAATTTATTACTTCTGATTGCTTATTAACATGACAAAATTGAGTGTTTTCTATATTTTTTCCATCTTTAAAACTCAGGGGAAAATAAATTGAAATGGCCTGTTAGTCCATGCAACAAGTCATTGATAAAATGACAGGAATATAATGGATTGGTCAAAGTCTGTTCAGATTAAATGACAAACCTGTTGATATCAAATGGAATGTGTTGGGTGTGGCGTTAAGCTGAAAGTTACTTGTAGGATATTATTTCCCCATGCCATAGGAATAGCTTGCTGGTACCTTCTTCTACATGTTGAGTATATCAAATAGCACCTAGTCTTGAGAAAGTTATATGTTTTTACAAAGAAGTCAAGTCTATAGAGCAGAAGCTAACCTTTGTGTTGTTTGCTGTGTACAAGTGTAGGTGTTACTCTCAGTTTTATGTATTTGCAAATGTGTATGTGTGTATAATAAAGATAATGGTGTTATTAAAAAATGGACTGAAAACTCCTTTTACATATGTTAAAAGTATTAGTTATGAAAATGCATTGTAAAAGGCTTTTTAAGTTTTTTAAGTCCTCTTTTGGGAAGGTAGAGGAAGATGAGGAGTGAGGAATGGGGGGAGAGGAAAATTCATGCCCTGCTTGTGCCAACACAGAGAATTGCTGTTCTGGTTCCAGCATTTAGACAGTCATAAATCATAGACTGTATCTTTCATTTCCTGCTGCACATATGTTAAACATCTGAGTAGGATCAAGCAGGCAATAAAAATGAAAGTTAGTAGCCTACAGGCTTTTCTTTCAAAAACAAAGATCATTTATCTGTAACAGACCAACCAACCAGTCTGTAACTCATCTGTGGCAGACTTGGTATGTAGCTCTCTATTCCTTGGTGGAAATGGCCTGCTTAATTTAGCACAGAATTAGTTCATGAGCATAGGATGAATTATTCTTTCGGTGTTGTGATAGAATGCAGGTTCCTTTCTTCTCTTTCAAACCTCATAACCATGGTCTCCAGCTACTTTCACAGTGCATCCAGACATTGGACATGCCAATAGTTGGTGTCTGTAGATGTTGTTTTACTAGCAGAACTCACCTTGAAAGTTGTCTGCCAGCTCTAATAGCTGTGCCACTTAGGTAGAAGCACAATGCAGGTGGAAAAAAAAGTGTTATTTACAGTTTTCAGTTATTTATAGCATAGAGTACTTGTGGATCTCCACATACAGAACTGAGCTAGAGATGTATGTGTGTGTGTCTGTAGAGATAGATAGATAGATAGATATGTGAAAGACATTAAAGGCATACATTGAATTTTATATGTGTAAATGTACATGCTGTTATTGCAGTATAATTCAAGCAAAGGAACATGGTATGTCTTATGGTGATTTTTTTTCCCAAAATTATTTTTTCATGTAATGGCATATGGATCTAATCAACTACGATTCCATTAGCAAGTCACACAGTCCAGAAGGAACAAGTTTGTAGAACAGAACAATTGGTGCTGGGGCCCTGGTATGCAAACTATACTTATTTGGGAAGGAGGCAAGAATGGCAGGTGTGTTTACATTGAACTAGATTTAGTCTGGTCACATAGACTAAATGACCATTGACTGTCAAAGTTTATTCCTGGAGCGCATATTTTGGTTTACTTTCATCCAGAGGGATTCCAGATAGTGTGTACTGAGACCACTCAGTCATGCAAACCAAAGCACTGTAAGTGGGGACAACTAATCGACATGCCTCAGGAGCCACAGGTTGCAAGGAAGCTGTTCAGCAGTTTAAATCTAAGAATTTGTGTCAAATAATAAATTCTATGAAGGACCAAATGACTCTGTCGTTGCTTGCTAGTTTCTGGTTAAAGTAGTGATTCTGTTTTTCAGAAAAGCAAAAAAAGAAGAGTTTACCTGAATCTTGTTTTATTTGAGTTAATTTAGAAAGCAGTTAAATTCACAAATGTCTTTCATCTTGCAGCTTGAAACTCTTGTGGAATTTGATTGTGTAAACAATGAGGTGCAACTTGTTGAGAGGAGAACTTATTCAATGCATTGACTGTAATTGCGCCTCTGCAATTCACAATGGTCGTGAAGTCTTTACTAGTCTCAAAAGAGCGGTAGGAGGTTCTACTGCTGGAATGACTTAAAAAAACAGAATGATTTTGGCTTTTAAGCCATTCTACGTGCACAATTGTAATCCCTAACTTCTCACCTCTGGGGCAGAAACTTTTGTTCTGTGTCATACTCCAGTTTCTGAATGACTCCACTGTCACAAAGTGGCGTTAAGATTTGTAGGTGCTTTCCCTTAGTTAATTCATTTGTGTGGCTGCCCCAAATACTGGCTTGGCTTTGGGAGTACACAGCAATCAGTTTGACCTGTTCAGCTTCAATGGAATTAAGTGTCTGATAATAATTTTCCAGCTTGTATTTGGATCTGGGGACTGTGGCGTGCAAGAACAAATACCCATGATGTGATTTTGGAGACTGCTGGTCTATTTGCAAATCTTAACAGAGAACGCTGCCGCTGACCATGCCTTCTGCTGTGTCCGTATCTGCTAGTCTCGCTGTTCAAACCTCTGGGTTTGCCATTGTCTCACTCTCTGGTTTTCTATGCCATTGCTTTTCTGGATCCAGTTAGAGCCAGCCATTCACAAGTTTTGTGGTGTTTTGAGCTGACTCACCAAGTGTGTTCAAGGTGGTAGGATCTAGAGGTAAGCTCAAGACTTAATCCCTTATGGCACTATTTTCAGTATCTTTTGTTTCTCCAGGCTTCCTTTGAACATTTCTGTGGGAATGATTTTAGCGTTAGCATTTTAAAATATTGATTGATTCTGATTCCTGGGAGAACAAAATAAAGGGGATTGTAAAATGGTCAATCACTTCTCCCCGGTTTTTGAGTAACTCATAACATTCTGGTATTTTCATTGGAATTATTCTGGGCTGTTTTCTTGCTAGTCAATATTAGTGTTTGGCTTTCCAGATACGATCTGATTATTTTTTTCTTTTCTTCTATAGGCAAGTAATTTAGTGTAATTTTCCCACAGGTTTAGAAAAAATTACTACATGAAGGATTTTAAATGTCTACATTTTTTACTCTTATCTGCTAGATCTGAGTACTGCTAGATCTGCTGCCTGAAAATTACAATATTGCAGTGCCAATTCTTTGTTGAAGGTGGCAACATGCTTGTACTGGGAATTTGTCCAACCATTCAGAGAGTTTAAAAATCCATTTAGTTCTGATGTCTTGTGTTCTGGTAAGAGTGGAAGAGATTGGGGGTGGTGGGGGTGGTGGGGGTGGATAATTGTTTAAAACAGACAGTACTTCAT